AAGCCATAGAAAGAATAGCAATGGTAAAAGCGTTTATCAGCAACCATGTAATACTTGTCGTCATGCTCGGTAAATCCTTTTATCATGCTGTTGCGATAATTAAGCCAAGTGGAATATCGTCTGAACTGATTAGCGTTATTGTACTCGTCTGTCGGAAGTGAGTATATTCTGGCAAATGTACTCACGGAAGCTGGTGTACATTCTTCGCTACTTCCGACTAATAGCAACGTTATCTCTACGTGGTCGTTAATTTGCGAGTAAGGAATCCATTGAAGAGTTTTTTTACTAGTTGCGATCAAGTTGTCAATTGCTGGATGTTTAATGTCCTTAATTAACGACATGGTTTTGAATAAAAAACTTTATCACGGAGAGAGAGATCATTCTCCAACAATTATTGTGTTACCTTGCACAGTCACGTTTCTGCATGGTATTGCAATTGAATTAGTTAGTGATATGGCAAGACCTATTATGCGTAAAGGCAAAAATTTACCAATTTATTATTCTGCTCGTTACAACGCACTATATTAAATAAACGCAAATATCACATTTAGGCGACCGATAAAGTAAGTAGTCCAAAAGTTAAGGTTGAGGTATGCGTACAGTGAAGATTCCTCAGAATAGCCAACTGATATTGTACAAACGCTAAACTGGCAATGGACATTGTGTATAAACCATAGCAATTGGAAGCAGGACCAACTGGAGGGCGTCGTATCGATAATTTCTTGCAAACTTGGCGGAGGGTATTATAATATCAAACTACATGAGTTTAAACAACATGTTACTTTTTTCCATCCTATTGTCGACGTGGGAGAGCAATCGGTACACTGGCCTTGGATTTAACCTTTTCAATCGAGACCTCTGACTATTACTTCGTCCTAAACCTACTAATGACTTTACGATTGGTTTTCAAATACTCACGATGCTAGATCGGTCTTGTATACGCTATTCTTAGATTATTATTTAACTTCGAATATTCTTTTGATGAGATTAATTTCAAAATCCTACCGGTCGGGGAAAATTACTCTAAACTAAACGCGTTTATAAAAAATTGAAGCCTGATGTCAAAGTTCCTACAAAATCAATGGCAGGATCAGTTCCGTTTACCGTCAATGCGGGAAAGCGTTTTACATTTTTACCGACGACAGAAAACTTCGCCGGGAATGAACTGAAATAATGAATCATATTTAAACAATGATTTTATTAAATATAGATAACTATTCTAAATAAGAAATATCAAGAACGATAGTCGAAGATAATGTTCGCTAAGGGAGATTACGACTGCTTAAATAACTATCAAAAATGCGGACAACTATTCTGTCACTGGCGTATGTGTAACTATTATATGTATTAATCGAACTTAAAGTATTCTCCTGTTCATACGTTTGTATAATAAAGGATCCAGAGCTTCTGAGTTTTTGGTTATTTTATCATCACATACTGCTCATTTATGAGTGTTGGTTCATGTGAAAATAAACAGTTTCCAATTTAGTCGATGCCTCTACCTATTTATGGCATTAATTTCTAAATGACGTCAAGCTGTCGAGAAGGAATACCCCCCAGCATTTCGTTTCTTTGTTCCCGACCCCTCCCATAAAGAAGCTGTGTGATCGTAAGTGGATTACGCAGCAAATAAATTTCTACCAGTTTAGTGAAACGATAGATAGTTATATAAGCACTCGTAATTTCCATTAGCAAACACTATCTCAGCAGTCATCTTTTATTTCATTGCAATTAGAATATTCTAATAAAATCAGTGTTCAATATGATTCATTATTTTGTTCATTCCCCCCTGGTGAAGTCATCTCTATAAGCGTGAAACGCTTTCCCGTATCAACGGTAAACAGAGTCGAGTCGGCCATCGATTTCTAAGAACTTTGCCACTAGGATTATTATTTAATTCTTTGTATAGGCGTCTAGTGTAGAAAACATCCCCATCTATAGGCTTTCGAAACTAATCCATCGAAAGAAATAGACGTAATATTCGAAGTTAAATAATAATCTAAGAATAGCGTATACAAGACCGAGACCGATCCAGCACCGTGAGTATTTGAAAACCAATCGTAAGGTCACTAATTGTTATTAGTAGGTTTAGCACGAGTAGAGACAGTCAAAGGTCTTGTTTGAAAGCTAAATCCCAAGGCCAGCGTACGATCACTCTCCCGCGTGTATTGGCTCGACATTCTCCAAGCCATGCAGTAAAGGTTTGCCGTATGTAGTTCGAACGGAGAATACCAACTCTTTATAAAAATATCCTAGTTAATAAATAAACTTGTATCTTTCAGGTTTTTGTTCAACGCCATGTGCTCATTGTCATAATATTAGGACACTGTGAAAACTTGGATCCATTGTTGAGTTTCGATCATTAATTATTAAATGATTATCAAGGAGAATACCATTGGCATCTTCAAGTCAGTTTGAGGCGACGAATGGAGGGAGAGTGGCTTGCTTTCAGAATCGGGAAAAGCTGTTAGTATTAGCGTTAGTATTAGTATTACGAGGGACCTTTGGTTGACAATTTGGAAAATCCTTTGCGTTTTTGGCATTCCAGATCAACGTTATGTAATCATCATGTGATAAGGAATTTCACAGGCAGTCAACGCCCATTTGACCAATATCAAACAATAATTGTATCATTCTTTTTCTATTGTCGGCGTAGGGAAATAGTGTGAAAGCCTGTTAACACCCACTCCCCATTCATTTCGCGATTGCCAAATCGTCCATATAGAAAAGATGACACAGACATGGTCTTAATCTAATAATAATCATACGATTCAACAACAATAATAGTACGAGCATGCTTTTAGACCACGCTACCATTATCGTTCTCATTCGTGAGCTGCTATTTCTATCAAGCAAACGGTTTTTTGATAGGCCCGTGTGTTAACGTTTACAGTATGTAATACGTTACAGTTTTACAGCTGGTAAATGTATCGTGTGATATAAGGTTAATATTCTTTATACTAACAATAATAATAAGGGAGGATTTGGTGTTTCAGATTGATTAGGGTAGTAAATTGGTATGTCAAAACGAGGAATTTGGAAGTGACGGATATAGATTGGTCCAATGATGGTTACTATTTGTCATAATAGCAAGCAGGCACTCAATCGGCAGCTTAAAAAGCTTAAAGTCTGATTAAAATGGGCACATAGTAATACTAGATAAAAAAACAACGCCTCACCGCTTGGCAAACGAAACTGGGTAGTTCCGTCAAAGGGACCTTATATATGATATTTGCTTCTCTGTGGAAATTTGCTAGCCCTAAAACAGCAACATCTCACGGTTTTTTACGTAACCGAGAATGTTGTATATAAGACAAAGACAAAGTAGCAGACATTATCCCGCTTCTTTGTAATCCATTATTCAAGATCCTTTTACAAGCAATCAACCATATCGCTCTAAATCGTCTATTCATACTCAAATCTTCTATACATACGCAAATCTTCTATACATACTCGAGATGAACCCTGATTGCATACCCTCACCTACAGAATTACCTTCGTCTCTTTTGGCAAATGACGCACATGCGGACACTTCAATTCTCTTGCATTCTATTTCGCTGGCGACTCTAGTCTTTACAATCATTGCTTCTGGTATTATCACGATCTGGAATCGATACGTTATACACCAAGCACCATTAGCATGGCGAAAGTCATTTTCACGTTTACGGGGGATGCCTCAGGGAAGGCAACTAGAAACAAACCAGCGATTAATTGGTCGATCACCTCATTCCAACCCTGCACCACTATGCTCCATAATTTCCACATCTCCACGGTCATCGCTCACTTCTCGTGTGCACAATCTGCACCAAATTGAACAACAGGAATCCACAAAGACACCATCTCTTGGAATTAAAAATAGCAAGTTTAAAATGACTAGAGAGCACATGGCTAATGCCTCATTTGAAGAGAAATTCGGGCTCTTGTTACTCGGCGTCGATGACGATGATTGGAGGGAAAGTCTGGGATCATATTATTACGAGGACCATGAATAAGTGGATACGGGCATCACAATCACCCAACCCAATTGGCAGAGCGGGAACAAACTGACATTTATTTTTTTTCAAAAAACTTATAGACGTTGATATCTTTTATCAAACAGATTAAATTTCATAAACTTGATTAATTTCTTGAGTAAAATACTAGACCTTAATCTCTTTGGTGACATGTTCTACAGGTTAAAGTTAGATTATGGAACCATAAACTAGAGTCGAAAGTCTGGTCAATAAACTGTTTTAACTATAATAATAGTATTTTAAATGATTAGGCTCTCGGTGGCCCTTCACTTTCGAGGGGTGTCGTATTATGACATCTCAACGTAGTATTCAGTAACCATGAGACGTCCAATTAGCTCTAACAAGAGGAAGTTGTCAGAGAAAATAGAAAGTTGTCAAAAGCATAGCTAATGTAGAAAAAACCATTAACAGTTAGAGTCTACTGCCCCAAAATATATTGTAGACAGCTATGTGGATGATTTTTTAAACATTAGAGAAGCCGATAAATAAATATATATATAAAAAAAAAATTGCTTTCCCTACGTTTGAATTGTCACGCTAACCTCAATTTACTGTTTTATTTGTTAAATTTTGTTCAAATAATTAATTCCTGAGTCATACTGTCTTCGACTGATATTTCTCCCTCTCAATAGTCAACTCTCATCGGGGTTTTTTTTCTACCGTCAGGACAGTCTACATCGGGAGACACGTGAACAGATCTAAAGAGTCAATGTTCCCTAGAAGGAACTTTTCAAATGTCGATAACTTAGGAAGATCAGCGTAACAGTTTAAAGCGATACATGATTACCGTCATACGAAATTATTCATATCTCTCTGGGAAACAGAGCGAGAGTTTTTATTGTCGGACACAGATATGCAAAGAATCAAATATCCTGAAGAGTCAATAAATAATTGTATGCGATGCAAGTGTCGCTGCTGTCAATACACTAACATTGTGGATTGTCTCATCCAATAGCATTATTTCCCTGACTGCTTGTCCTGCCGAACGTTAAACAGTGAAACAAATAATACAGAATTTTGAAATGATGTCTCTTACTTCCAACACAGAACACCATCTTCCTTTGTATTTAATAGGTAGTCTGTTTGAAATATTATCCAAGAAATCTACACATCCAACACTTCCATCAGCTTGGAATCGCAGCGAGTCTGTTGAATTGATACAAGTGGGAAAAAACGGATTAAGGGCTAAATATATTGGTAGTTAATATGCTGCTATCAGGTTATCCAAGCGCTGTAGCTTAGATTAACACAGAAATATGAACAGGTGGAGGACTTGTTGATGCAGCTATCAGGACAGATTATCCCATACCACAAGAATGCGGGTTGTACTATTATGAAGTCGAAATAATCAACAAAAGCTCTAATGGGTATGATCAAATATTGAGCGAGTGGCTATGGAATTTTAGTAAAGATCATTTTACATATCAGTGTATTTTCTGACTAGTGTTTAAACTGTATGTTGTAGATACATTGGAATTGGCTTTACAACGAAGAGTGTGTCACTTGGTTATCAACCAGGTATTCAACAAGTATCTTTTGTTTTCTAATGTGTACTTGTTATTTTTCTCCCTTATTACATCCCACTTTCTCTTTATTGATTCATGTTACATGACAACAGTATGGCACCATAATGCCTATGGGTATCACGGGGATGATGGGAGAAAATTCCATGCATCAGTTAGGGGAGAGGCGTATGGCCCACCATTTACTACTGGAGATGTTATTGGATGTGGTATAAACTTTTTAAAGGGCACTGCATTCTACACTAAAAATGGACATAATCTGGGTGAGCGACATATTAATAAATAGGGAAATGTAGATTATTATCAGAATTAGCTTACAAAAGAAGCATAAAGAGTTTATTGTTAGATGATAGCTAATAAGTATTATCATTGAATAGGCATTGCTTTTCGAGATGTTGAGGGAGACTTCTATCCAATGATAAGCCTTAGTGCTTTTAACGAGACAGTTGAAGCTAATTTCGGTCAGGATAAATTCGTGTTTGATGTCGTTAAATATGCAAAGGTCGGTTAAAAGCCATATTGACGTGAAATATCATGGCAGAACAAACTAACTCGTTTTTGGTTGTTACAGGAACTTTTTGCAGAAACTAATGAGAATGAGGCTATTGCTATGTTGAATGTCATACCCAGTGATCTATAAATATTTACAGACTATAATCGCGTTACTGCATAACTTGTATAATTAGTTATTTGCGTGCTAACTAACTCTCTAGATATGAACATAAAACAAGCCAAATGAAGCATTAAATAAGGGTATGAATTAGTAGAATTGCCGCACATGGTTTTATATTTACTCAACCTTCTCTACATAATACAATAGAAAATTTTTTTATTTGAGTAATAAGCTGGTTCTTTTTAGGGAGATGCGACGCGAAGAATTAAATACACGTGAATTAGTAAAATGCGTTGGCTATTGATATGATTATACAATAGATATAGAAGCATCTCTTTGTATGAGATTAAGTATATTTGCTTTGAATATATAGTGAAGAAATGTCTACTATTACTAAACAATTTGAATATTACTTAATTCGTTAGGGCTTGTTACCACTATAAAGTTTATCTTGCATTACATCTTCACGTAGAATTGTAACCCATACAAGTATTTCAAGCCTTTATTTTAATTTATCCAACAAACGTACATACTATACAAGTTCTAATATACTATATTATACTGTATATATTATGGCAACGCAATGCGATTGTTAATTCACGCCTTGTCGTGCAATCTTGCATTTCCAATATACAGTTTGTATTTCTTTATTCTTCGGTCCCAGTATCTGTTTAAGAGTACGACACGTACAGACAGGCACATATTCCTTGCCATCGACACGCATGACATCAATACCACCGGTCAGCACCGCAACACGTGGGAAATGTGCATGAACGAGATCATTCGCAAACTGCTGACGTAATAAGGCATGGGCTTAGAAATATGATACAAATAGTAAGAAAGAAAGAAAAAAAGAAAAAAAGTGGATTGAATGTACCTGTGGACCATAATCTCCACGTTTAGCAACAACAACATGATATTTCTTTTTTTGCTGTCTAAGGACTGGAGCAACTTGGTCTAATTGAGTCGGGTTCATATTGAACGACAAGGGGAAATGACCCCGTAAGAACCTTCAATTACAAGGAAGAATAGTCAATATTAATGCACCGAACGCTTACTCTGCTATGTGAATTGGTCAACATGTTGTGCTTACTCTTGTTCCGTGCGAGTGTCAATAACTAATACATAATTCTGAATCTTCACAAGATCTTTTAATGATATTCTGGGAGCTAATTCTTGCTTTTTAACTGCGACTGGAATTGGTTGTTCCCACCAGCGTTGGTTCTGTTTTGTTGTAGATAAAATATAATTAATATACAGACGACGACCAGGAGATATTATTTGCAGTTTGCTTATGAGCACAAACCTCTTCATTATTAGACGGCTCGGATTTAGAATTCGGATCATGAACTCTAAATAACACTGACGGCGGTGTTACTTTGCACATTGACATTGCAGACTGAATACACTTTTCAATGTCGATTTCGTTAAAGGACTCTGCTAGCACCATAATGGTGTCGTTGAATTCCGTAGAGAGAAATACAGTCCGAAGTTGCTTTAGAATAGCTATGCCCGCAAATAGTGGTAGCGATGGTGGCCCAACCAATATCTTATCCCATAAATGATAAGTCTTTTCGATTGGGAAAACGTCTAATACAATATACATGTTGTCAATATAAGTTAGCACGCACGAGACATCACATACTCGTATATTACAAGCACTTACGAGTAAACAAGGTCAAGAACCATGGAACAGCATATAAATCAGGAAGATATTCCATCCTAGTTAGATGAGATGACAATTCTGGGTCGTGAAATGATAATAATTGTCCAAACACTGCCAAGTATTCCTGAATGACGGGAGAGTTATCGTATAAGAAAAAGTCTTTTAAAAACTTTGGGACGAATGTTTGTAAGCAACTAAATGCCAACGCTTCATCATTGAAGTTTAGAGTTAGAAATGGTGTGCATAACGAATCCAAGCCTGTATTTGATGAGGAGAATAAAGCATGTTGAATATGGACAAAAAACTCGTGTTCAATGGTAGAAAATAATATTGGTTACGTTGCGCACCAAACGATGAGGAATAAAACATTACCTTGCCAATAGACTTGTGTCTTGTTTGCCTTGATAAAACATTTCAATAACCTTTTCAGCTTCTCGTGTCCCACAGGCGAAGAAAGAAGTTGATTGTATTGATGGCAACGAGGAACATCTATAGCATCGTTAGTTCCGATGTTTGACGTAGGATAGGCGTATGAAAAATAGAAAACAATTTTGTAGATGCTTACCAACATCAATCTACATATAAATTCAACAATTATAATAGAGAATAAGAAGCCTTGTTACACAGATTACAATATATTTATCACTGAGTAGGACTTACCTGTCTGTCAATTTCACTTTCTTTATCATATGCATCATATACAGCTTGATAGTCGCCCGTGATATTCAATATAGCAGCCCATACTTTCCCTCGTAAGAATGGTGGAATATCGGCTTTTGAATGATGAACAATCTCTGCATGCGATGCTGGGTACTGCTTAAGCAACTTGCTAAACAATGCGACACGTTGGAACTGATATCCGACGTCCTTCTCTCGAATTAATAATGGCAATTTGACATTATCAGTCGGACTCTGCATTAGTCTATTAGCGGATTTGGTCGAAACTTTAGAAGTGGAGTCTGTATAAATATATGTATCCAATAACTGGTCATCTGACGTTTTGATGCTATCATCTGACATGGTGTCAACGAGAAAGTTCATATCGTCTGTATCGACTACTAAAAAATAATCAGTATCCCATTCAAATGTTTCTCGATTTGGTCCAGTCGCTGCTTCCAAACGTTGGCGGAGTTCTTTCAGTGATAGAGTGTATATTGTATCTGAATATAGGAATGCCGTATCTTTACGTGTACCCTCTTCTCTGCCATCGCTTACTCTTACTGTACGAGGTATTCGTTCGATTGGTGGCGTACTCAGTAGTAAATCTTCCTTGGCTAATTCGGATTCAACGTCACCACCAGCCAATTTCCAAAAGTAGTATATTTGTGATAGAGGAATTCCACGCAATATGTCTTTATCTCCTCTGTCTGGTGCCTTTGAGTGTTCGGGATGATCATCATCTAGACTTAAACAGGATGAATATAGGAATGGCTTGACCCACCAGTATTTGTATTCTTTACCAACTCCAATTTCATGAATTGGCGTAAAGAATGAGTGAGATAAGAGTTGGTCTGGAGTACATCTATTTGAAACGTTCACTTCTAGGCAAGATTTGACAAATTGTCTAAATTCCGTATAATCGTCATCTTCAGTTGATTGAAGCAATTTAAGGATCGGTTCACATATGCCTGATATATCAGAACTGTCCCACACTCCAGTAGCATTTTTATCAATCTGTTCCGATCTACTCAATAACTCCCAAAGAGAGGTAGTTATTTGGTTAATGTCGTCGACACCAGCATCCCAGAACAGAGATCCAGTAAATAATTCTGCAAGTATTACTCCCAGAGACCATACATCCACCTAACAATAGCAGTAAGCAAATGTTAGCAGTAATATTATTTGCTGTTGTCAATAATGTCGTATAATTTTTTTAAACCTTTTTAGTGATAAACGGATCAGTTGTTTGCGAATGATATATTGCTTCGGGGGACAAGTAGTTCGGAGATCTAGCGAAGAATCCAGAATACGGTATTAGCACGACGTTAACATAATAATATTTAATCGCATCAATCAATTCCTTTCATACCCAATTGGAAAATCTACATCTGCACCATTATTTGTCATATAATACATTCCATAATCAGCCAGCTTCACGTAACTCTAAATTTCAAGTTGCGGTTAGAAAAGAAGAACAAAACACAACCCATAGCACTTAAACGGAATATGATACGTACCCCCGAAGCTAACACGATATTCTGTGGTGCTAAATTGTGATGTATTATATTCCTATCATTTAGATAACTCAATGCCTTTAAAATTTGAAAAGCCCATTGTCTCAAGGTTTCGACTTCCACTCTACAGATAGTTATAATGTGTGTATATATATGAGATAAAGCAATGCATCATCGCTGTTCTTCACTTTTTATACCTTGTGACATGAGCATTGCCTTTGTTATCTATGTTGTATAGATCTCCAACATTACAATTATGATATTCGAATATGACAAACATTCGATCTACCATTACAAAACGCGTATAATTGTATTCAAATTAGCTGATTTCACATACAAAGTACAATCACGTTTTCCACGTACCATGTTTGCCTTTGACAATATCCACATATTCGCATATGTTAGGATAATAGAGTGTCTAATACGAACAAAACTCGATCAGATAGAGCGAAAAGAAAAACGACTCGAACAAATAAGTAGACTGCAATGTTACAGTCATGCACCATATTAACCTTCAAATACTGGAATCTCCCAAATATTTCGGTTGTTGCGGTTGCTAGAGTAACATTTAATCAATCAACTTTCATATATTTTTTATGTCAACTTTCCAACTTTTGCAATGCTCTTCGCTCCGTCAAACTTTTCTATAAATGGAGACACTTACCCGGCGCAATATCTCTATCTTCAACTCTAGCAACAGCTGAAAAATTACTTACGCCTAACTGTGTATCACGACTAGGCAAACCTTTACAGTTGATGTCCTTATCCGTGGCGAATGTTGCCATGTATCATCACTTCTACATTCCCAAACTATAACGAAGGATACAAAATAAATAATCACGAGAACATGGACATGCCTAATTTGGTTGATTGCAGATCCGTGATACATCTCGTTAGATGCTACTCGCTACGAAGATCGTGTTAAATTAAATGCGGATCCCTAACCTACGTTTGCTAAGAACAAAAGTTAAAGATGTTGTGTTAATATTAATATTATTATTCGTAATGTAGAAATTTTACTATGTGTTTCTTCGTGACGAACATTCAATAACTTTCTTAACGAACACATAGAGAAAGCTAATACCGATAAACGCAATGATTACGATTTATCGTTCACTAAAGTTATCACATCGAAGAAGCAACTCAACCTCCACATACATACGACTCACGTTGGGTGAATGGGAATTTCTCTTACGGGATATTCGACTGTTAACTTTTTTATCAACTGTTGAGAGTGTTCATAATTATTATTGTTGGATAATTCACTGAGCCGGAAGCTAACTCTGATATCATTTAGGGATATGACAATGTTATGAACGATTTATAACATTTAAACCTTTTTTCTTGGGTCTGTCTTTCTTCTTTCTTTCTTTTGCTCGTTATAATCATAATATTGATAATATTTTACTTATTACATTGTAATAAATATAAGTGGATAAACAATCGAATAATCATTGCTTCCAAACCGGCATGCCAAACCCAGTTTCAGGGACATATCCTTCACAAGCAGCTAAGCAATTACCGAATCGGACCCTCAAACCCGCTCTCTCGCAAACCGTCAGTGTAGAGAAAAAAAGGGGAGAGAAAGAAAAAGAAAAAGAAAATGGAGTTAGTTTATAACGTAAAACAAATGCGATATTACCTTATACTTACCCAAAACCTTTACCCGTGCCAGATCAGGCGAGTGAGTAGAGGGGTGTCACCGGTAACTACCCGCTGCCCGATCCCCGTCCACCAGTCGAGAAAAAAGAGAGCAGCCACCTAGTTAACCAGTTTAAAAGCAAGTCTGTTAGTGAACGATTATTATCCACCAATAAAGCAAAGCCAAACCCCCTTCTTTACGACTTATGGTAGTTTCTTCTTGGCCAATGGCGTTATAATCTGTAATAGAATTGTTGTGAATAAGT